GTCTATCACTTGAAAGTAATTCCCAGCCCTCAAAGTGGAACTAAAAATGTGGTATGGACTGCTTCACTTTTAGCCAGCTGTCAGATACCTGAGCTGTTCTAGAGCCTTCTAGTAGAAAATTCCAGGGTCTCACTGAGTTGGCAGAGTAGTGTATCCACCAATCAACTACCAAACCCAACTGCACTCTGCTCCTAGGGCCAAAGTTCCATGTGTAAAGAGAACTGTGTTGGGGTTTGTGTTAAAACAAGGCTTGGGCCAGGCACAGTGGCACATGCCTTCAATCCTAGTGACTCAGGAGGCTGAGGCAGGAGGATTGCAAGTTTTAGACCAACCTTAGCAACTTAGCAAGACCCTGTCTCAAAAGAAAAAAAAAAGGAATAAAAAGGGCTGGGGGGTGTAGTTCAGTGATAAAGCATCCCTGGGTTCAATTCCCAGTRCCAAACAAAACAAAAACTGTGGCTATGGCCAACATTAGCCTGTTACAAAACCTCACAAGGACACAATAAAAATAAAACTATAGACCAATATCCCTGATGAACACAATTGCAAAGATCCTCAATAAGGGGCTGGGGTTGTGGCTCAGGGGTGGAGCACTTGCCTTGCACATGTGTGCCACTGGCCTCAATCCTCAGTACCACATGAAAATAAATAAAGATACTGTGTTCATCTATGACTAAAAAAATAAAAAAGTATATTAAAAAGATCCTTGATAAAATACTAGCAAATAGAATTCAATAGCACATCAACATGATAGGCCATTATCAAATTGGTTTCATTCCAGGGATGCAAGGATGGTTTGACACACACAAATCAATAAATATAATATATGAGATACACAGAAAATAAATGTCATACTGTAGATAGAGAAAAAATATTTGATAAATTCAACATCCCTTCATAATAAAAGCCCTGAGTAATTTAGGTATTAAAGAAGGAYTATACCWCAACATAATAAAGGTTGTATATGAAAAACCCATAGTCAACATCATACTGAGTGAGAAAAAAGTGAAAGCAGTTCCTCTAAGATCAAGAACAAAATAAGAGTGTCCAATATCACTACACTTATTCAATATATTGCTAGAAATTTTAGCTAAAGCAATTAGGAAATAAAAGGCACACAGATGATATGACTCTATACATAGGAAAACCTAAAGACCCACCAAAAGAGTATTAGAACTAATAAAGGAATTCAGTTAAGTAGTGGGATATAAAATGAGCATGCAAAAATAAATAGCTTTTCTATACACCAATAATAAATTTGCTACAAAATCATGAAAGAAATCTCATTCACAATAGTCACAGAAATAAAACAAAACAACAAAACACACCATAGGCAGGAATAAACTTAAAAAGTAAAAAGACCAATGAAAATTATGACACTGAAAGATGGAAAGAACTTACAATTCATGGTTTAGAAGAATACCAATTAAATATCCATAGTACCCAAAGCACTCTACAGATTCAATGTACTCCAACAAAACACCGATAACGTTCTTCATAAAACTAGGGAAAAAAAATCCTAAAATTCATATTGAAATGCAAAAGACCTTGAATAGTTAAAGCAAACTTGAGCAAAAAGTGMAAAGCTAGAGGCATCACAATATCTGATTTTAAGACATATTATAAACCCACAGTCATAAAACCATGATGGTATTGGAGTAAAAATAGGCCCATAGACCAATGGAACAGAATAGAGAGCCCATAAATAAATCCACACAACTTCAGTTGACCAAGGTGTCAAAACATACAATGGATAACAAACCTCTTTAACAAATAGTACTAGGAAAACTTCCCACATATACAAGACAGAAACTTGACCCCATCCCTCACCCAGCACAAAAAAATCAACTCAATGTGGGCCAAAGACTTTAATGCAAGACATGAAACTCTGGAACTACTAAAGGAAATATAAGAGAAACACTTCAAGATATTGGTACAGGCAATGAGTTCCTGAATAAGACTCACAGGAAGCAAAAGCAAAAGTTGACAAATGTGATCACATCAAACTAAAAAGATTCTGCACAGCAAAGGAAACAATCAATAGAGTGAAGAGTGTACCTACAGAATGGGAGAAAATGTTTGCTAGCTATTCATCTGACAGAGGGTTAATATCTACAATACATAAATAATTCACACTTTACAACAACAAAAAACAAGTAATCCAATTAAAAATGACCAAATGATCTGAACAAATACTTCTCAAAAGAGAAACTATAAAAGACCAATAAATATGTGAAAAAAATATCTTTAGCTATTGGAGAAATGCAAATAAAAACCACAAGATACCATCTCACCCCAGTTAGAACGGCTAACTAACATAAAAATAACAAATGTTGGTGAGGATGTGGAAAAAAGAAACACTCAGACACTGTTGGTGGGAATGTAAATTAGTTTAACCACTGCAGAAAACAGTATCAAAATTCCTTAAAAACTAAAAATACATCCACCATATGATCCAGCTATCCCAACCCTGATTACATATTCAAAGGAAATGAAGTCAGCATAAAAAGAGATACCTACCTACATACCCATGTTTTGGGGGCACTATTCACAATAGCTAAGATATGGAATCAACTGAGGTCTCTATCAATAGTGGAATGGATAAAAGAAAATATGGTAAATATACACAATAGAGTATTATTCGTAAAGAAGAATAAAATCCTGTCATTTGCAGGAAAATGTTTGGAACTAGAGGACATCATGTTAAGCAAAATAAGCTAGACACAGAAAGACAAGTATCATACATTTCATACGTGAAAATTAAAAAGAAATAAAGAAAAATGACCTGAATGTAGAAGAGGGATTATTAGGGATAGTGCAAGGRGAAAGAAGGGAGCAGGGAGGGAGTTAAGCATAGAATACAAGTGACTGGACATAATCAATACACAATGCATACATGGGTGAAAATATCACAACAAATTCCACTAATTTGCAAAATTAATATGTGCAAGCTGAGTGTGGTAGTGCATATCTGTAATCCCAGATACTGAGGCTGAGGGTAGAAGGATCACTTGAACCCACAAGTTCAAGACCAGCCAGGAAACGTAGTAAGATCCCATCTCAAACAGCAAAGTAATATGTGGTAATGATTACAATAAAAATTAAAAGAGGAGGAGGAGGAGGAGGAAGAGGAGGAGGAGGAGGAGGAAGAGGAGGAGGAGGAGGAAGAGGAGGAGGAGGAGGAACAACAACAACAACAATAATAGCGGTTGTGGTCGCTTTAGGAAATATTAGGACCAAAGATCTGTCCACTGACTCCTTTATATTGTATTGTATTTGCTCTTTCCAAGGTGGGAAACTAGCAAGAGGAAGGATCTATTAGCAGACCTTGGTGGTCATTTCATGCCATTTCCTTATTTCACACAGGACACTAAATCCCAGGGAAGTAGAAAGACTTACAYTAATGTTCTCTAAATTTTCTGCCCAAGGCTATCTGCAGTCAAGCCAGAGGCTCAATTTTCAAAAGACACATTATGATCAGCCTTATATTTTAAGAACTATAAACTCAGACTAGACTGGAAAGGCCTCTTTCGAGAGTCATCAGACTTTCCAAATATGACTCATGGGCTACTCCATCTGCCTCCAAGTAAATGTTTTGGCTGAGAAGCCAGCCTAGCTGTGGGGCTATATGAAAACCMAGGGTATGGCTTTGGTTGTGAGAGGGATGGAGAGGTCAGGGCATGAAGGACATGGCAGAGGGTGACCAGGTAAGAGCAAGAGATGTAGACTGCCCTGGGGATCAAAGATCACAATATACACTCCCCCCCAAAACAGGTGCTCTGGAAATGTCTGTTAAATGCCAAGTAAAGACATCCTATTTCGTCCTCTGTCATGATGCAGTGTGGCACCCAGCCATTCACGAGAGCTTGGCCCCCAACTTACTCCTCGCATTCTTCAACTCTTGCTCCCTTCCATTTATAGTATCATCAGAATAAAAGTGGTGAATCCAGTTCACAGCACAGCCTTCATCAATCAAAATTCTGAGCACAGAGATTTTGACTGTGATTGGGAAATATACACAAAGTTTTGGGCATGCACAGGCTGACACACAGGCAGCCCTGGTGATGGATGAGATCAATTTTTGAAGACTTTCTGCCTTCATCTTCCAGGTTACGGATGTCAGATTTTTTTTCCCAACTCTCAGCCTCATATTCCAAACTAAAACCTTCCACAATAATCACAGGCATTATTTTATATAACCTCTAGAAAATGAGTCACTTTATGATAAAATAGCATTTTAAAACTTGTGGTCTACTAAAGGTCTGATTCAATTCAGTTRGTTGGTTTGGATGAAAATATAAAAGTTATACTCAAGGGATGGGGATGTGGCTCAAGCAGTAGTGCGTTTGCCTGGCATGCGTGAGGCGCTGGGTTCAGTCCTCAGCACCACAATAAAAATAAAATAAAGACGTTGTGTCCCCCGAAAACTAAAAATATTAAAAAATTCTCTCTCTTTAAAAAAAAAAGCTATACTCAAAGCTAAGAAATGCTTAAAAAACTAGTAATCCATTTTATATTTTAGCTACTTAATGAATGTATCAATAAGGCATCAAATTTATCAATAAGCATTAAAATGGCTTGTCAATTTTAAGTTATTATTAAAGGTATCAATAAAATTGGTATGTGTTTAATGTATGAATCAGTCTTCTTGAGAGAGGCACCAAAAGGTTCCCGCTTACAGGGGCCAGGTCTGATTCTCACTGCCAAACCCCAATGCTCAACCCAGTACCTGGCTTGTAAATGTTTGTTAGATAAAGGGTCAGAGGGGTGGCAAAATGGAAAGGAATAAGCATTTTCTGATCACTTCCAAAATCAATCTCCACATGAACTAACCAAAAAGCCTATCTTGAATGTTTAAATATTTTACCTGCTGAATATGTTATGATCTAGGATTTTATCCAAATTGGGCTTTTAAAGCCTCCTTTTCATGGAGCCTGTTGTAAATGGAAGCATCCTAAGGGCAGTCAGGCRGGAACAAACGTCACCATCACACTCCTCACCTGCCATGTCGATGGCAAAAGGCCTGTCTGCTCTCCAGCCGGTGTACCAACCAACGACTTTTCCATTTTCCACCAATGGACGTTCATAGCGTCGACCACCAACCAGGCCCACTGGCCAGACAGAAACCTTACGCGTGGTTCGCATCTACAAAAGGGGGAAAGAGATGTGTTTTAAGTTTTGTTAGGGAAAAGCAGCAAGGAAGGGAACATGACCCACACAGAAGAAATCGGAGGGATTGGTGGTACATATTTCAAAAGATGAAGGTTTCTAAACAGAAGCCTTCCGTGGGTACATATGCTAGCCCAATTCATTATGGTCTGGCCACTAAGTGCCCTCAGCATCTACTAGTATAAATGCAGCTGGTTTAAAGCTCAAGCCTTAATAGAAAGCAGGTGTCAATACCTGAATCACTTACTTGAAGCTAAGTTGAGGCTATTGAATATTTTCCATTTGTTGCAAAGTTGAATCTTTCACACAATACTTCGTATCTTCTGAAGGGAGAAGGTTTACTTCCCCTTCAGGGAACTTCATGACTCAGTAAGAGCAAAACTTGCACTCAGAGGAGCCATGGGAATGTCCTTTCTTTTAATTTACAGCTGTATATACACAGACATCTTGGCTGGGACATTAATAATGGGATCCAGACCCAGGACAGTAGGCATCCTACACAGTGACAAAAAGAAACACACACCCTTAAAAAAAAAAAATTACCTGCCTTTCAAGGCAGTCAGGCCAAAGTAGAGAAGATAAATGCCTCACACAGGTGTTGAAGTATTTGATATTCTTCCTGTCACATGGTTATGCATGGTGGAATACCAGTTAACACACCCTCCTCTGAAAATTATTTGCTGTACTTCTTTAAGGGGAAATGTTCGTAAGAAAGCTTGTCAATTTCAGGCAGCATTTCCAAGGAAAACCRTCTCTATTGCCATCTTCTGCTAGCCCACACAGCACTGGAATGCAAATTAGCACTCTTCCTTGGGCARATGCATAGCATGCTGGAGCCCATGGCCATCAAAAAACAACTCCTGCTGTTGAGGTAATTATAATTTTGACACCAGCGCTTTATCTTTTATTTGCTATAAAATTGAACTGGGTCACCACGATCGGGTAACCCAGGGTTAAAATACCGATTATCAAATTTTTAATGAAATGAAGAATAGTGATATGCTGGGAAAGATTTTCAAACACAACTGGAACAGAAGTCGTGCTATTAGAAAGTAATTAGAAGCTCCCACTAGCTAAGCACCCCYAATTTCACTTAAGCTTAATGTCCTACCTTATTCCAGTAGATTTTAAGGGCCTGAAGTGTTTCAGGTAAAGAAGRGTCTCATTGCACTGGTCTTCCTCAAATCTGAAACTACTATTTTTATATTTCTATCACTTTTTCAATAAATTAATCACAACTGTCTTATGCAAATTCTAAATTTTATAATTAGAAAAAAAAGCTTTACTGAGGTACAGACTAAAAAAAAAAAAAAAAGTGTACAGGCCCACGACTGTCATTTTTTAAAAGGACCATTTGCAAGGCTGGCCCTTAGCTGGGGAACTTGCCTGTGAAACAYGTCCTATGCTGCTAAGGCTATTTTGCCTATTTGGGGTATTAAACACCCACTTATTCTTTAAAATCAAAAATTTGGGTAGGCAAGGGGTAGCTACATGACCAGCTCTCAGTAAAACCCATGAACTCTGAAGTTTTAAACTGGTTTCCCTGGGCATACACACTGCACATCTGTAGCTAGGTTTCTGCTTCTGGAGGGAATGTGTGCTCTGCCTGCTCACTCAAGGGAGGGGAGAACAGAGGAAGCCGTACACAGATTCCTACAGATTCTGCCCCATGTYTTTATTCTTCCTAATCCACTTTGTATTCTGTGTTGTTTACAGTAAACGTTAGCCATGAGTACAATTATTCACMGAGTGCTGGGAGTCCTAGTAAATCTCCAAACAAGTGGATAACCTTGGGGACCTCAGAAATGTGGATACAGAACAAAATGAACACTTTAAATGTAAAGTTTGGCACACTTTGACATATATACGTACCTTGTAACCATTACCACTGTGAAGATAATTAACAAATCCTGTACCCACAGAAGTCTTTCTGTGACCTTTGTAAATCCATCCTTCCAATCCTTTCCCATCTGCCCCATCCCCAGGAAACTACTGATTTCCTTTTTGCTACAATATGTTTGGATTTTCCAGAATTTTATATGAATGTAATTATATAGCATGTGATATGTGTGTGTGTATGTGTGTGTGTGTGTAAGTGTGGCTTCTTTCACTCAGTATCATTAATATGAAGATTCATCCATTTGCAACGTGTATCAATAGTTCATTCCTTTGTGTTGTAGAACAGTACTCCATTGGATGGTTAGCAGCTTGTTCTACCTGCTGACGGACCTGTAGGTTGTTTTGAGTTTTTGTACGTTAGAGATCAATCTGCTATGAATATCTGTATACAAGTCTATGTGGGTTTCATTTTTAAATATTAATACCTAGGAGTGAAAGGACTGCACCACATATTTAACTTTATACAAACTGCTAGTTCATTTTCCAAAGTGTGTGTGTCATTTCACATTCCCATTAGCAGTGTATGAGAGCCCCACTTCCTCCACAYCCTTATCAACAGTTGGTATGGCAAGTCTTCAATTTTTTCAATTCTAATAGGTATCAGTATTATCAACCGTGGTTTTAATTTGCATTTTCCTGATGATTAATGATRTTTAATATCTTATTGTACTTACTGCCACCTGTATCTCTTTGGTGAAAAGTCTGTTTGAATTTTCCCCCATTTTAAATATTGGTTGTTTTCTTACTAYTGAACTTTCAGTGTTGTTTAAATGTTCTATATACAAATCTTTTACTAGAAATATGATTTATTGCGGGGAGCCATCCGTGAAAACCCCATGAGGATCTTCTCTGGGCAAGAAGCCAGGAAGTTTTTAGGTTTAACCTGGCTCTTCCGCACAATAKATTGCTCAAGGCACATGACCTTTATCTTCCTCTCTAGGAAGMTCTCTCCTRGTTGCTTCAGAGATGGGCATAACCCATTGGGAACTGGACAGCCCACCTATAATCCTTTCTGGTGAAGAACATTCTATGGAAGACCTTTGATGTCCCCTGATATAAAGCAAGCAAGCATGGGCTCCATTTTGGTTTTTAATATAGAAGCTCAGTTCCTATGATCTGCTAGCCTGTCCTGCCTCTGTTTTCTGAAAATATTTTCTGTGTCCTGTGGTTTTTTTTCATCATTCTATTTTTCTTAGCTTTTATTTCACAGCCAGCCTATTCCACGGAGGGGAGCCCCATTTCCATTGCCTGCGTGAAACATGGGCAAGAATTTRTAGTTTTCTCTCAGTCTGTGGCTCATGTTTAATTCTTATAATTGTTTTATAAAGAACAGAAGTTTTTCATATTAATCAAGTCCAATTTCTCAATTTTTTCTTTATGGATCATGCTTTTGGTGTTGTATCCAAAATAGCTTAGCCCAATCCAAGGTCACAGGGCTTTCTCTTCTTTATAGTTTATGATCCATTTTTCAGTTAATTTTTGAATGTGGTATGAATGGCTGCTTAAAGGTATTTTTTTCCACACCTTTTATTTTTGTTGTATTTAYTTTATTCCAAATATATCTAATTGTCTTGGAACAACTGAACTGCTTTTGCATCTTTGCCAAAAACCAGTTGTGCATAAGAGTGTAGATTTATTGGAAGCTCTATTCTGATCCATGGTCTACTTGGTGATCACAATGCCAATACCACATTGTCTTGATTTATTGTAGATTTTAAGTCTTCTAATCAGACAGTGTTAATCCTGCAACTTTCTCCTTCATTTTGGAAGTGGTTTTGACTTTTCTAGGTCCTTTTATTTTCCAAATAAATCTCACAGCTTGTCAATTTCAGCAAAATGTTGATAGGGATTGCACTGAATCTGTATATCAATTTAGCTCAGATGACACTTAATAACATTGATCTAYCACAAACATAATCTTCCTCCCGCTTTATTTACATCTTTTATTTCCCCTAGTAATGTTTTGATAATTTAATTCTTGAATCAATATTAATATTTAATGTGTTTACATCCTAAGTCGTTATTACAGGTGGGAACAAAATAGAAAATATACTAATATTTTCACCAATATTTTCCTGTCCTCAACTCACTCTATTTTCAGGCTCCTGTTCCTTCATATACTGTGGAAAATGAAAACATTTCAATTTATCTTACATATCAAACATACCAAACATACAAAGAAGCCAAGTATAATCTAATAAATACATATTTTAATTGACAGAATGGCTTTATATCTATAAGGCACTAAAATAGTACTGAGCTCTTTTGGGAGGAATATTTTCTTAAAGGTTATGATTTATTTTGTCTCCAAACTCTTTTTTTGCAGTGCAGTAAATTTTCAAATCTGTAGAAAACTAGTGAGAAGACCCCTATTTCAGATTTTTATGTCCTTTTGAGAAGGCATGAAATTTTGCCCTGCATACAGCAASTGCCCAATAATTCTTGAAAAGTGAGAAAGTACCATGTAGTAATTTAAATATGGGTTCAACCAGTATATGCATGAGCTGTACAAAAGAGATGCTTATAAGCAAAGAGGGAAACAGATAAGAAAAGGAGGTTAAAAAAAATGTTTTTTCAAGAAAAGAGAAACTGCCATTAAAGAGATTAACCTATTTCTATAGAATGGCTAGGAGGAAGACAATTAAATATGGTCATAGAGATTAAGCATGTTTTGTGGCAGGCTTTTTATTTAAACAGAGCCATGAAACATGTAGGATTTTTCCCACAGAACACAGAATGACCTATGGTTCTAAGTAATGAGGTGAATCAAAGAAGCAACACTTCACAGGTTTTGTTTGCACACTCCAGATTTCTGAGAGAAGTTCAGAGCTAACATTTGTCCAAGTTTTATTTTTCCGGAGGGTTAGAAGTTAAAAAAAGTGAGGTGATAATTGYATAAAAGCAAGTGATGTGGCAAGAGGATGCAGTGCAGGTATGCTAAATTTTTAAAAAGATGTCATTTAAATAGTTGAAAATTTTGAAAAGATCTGGATGCCCCTGCAGTCTGAAGTGCTCTGAAATTTGCTGTGGAATGGCTTCATCACGGCCCCTCTGCACACGACCACTATCCTATATAG